GGGGTATACACCCCTATACAGCCCCCCGCTCCCCCCCCGTTCTTAACGGTTCTTAACGGTTCGTTTCTTTCCCGAGTTGTTACTCGTTTGATGAATTACTGCATTTATTAATTATTTCCTTTTCCTGGACTTCTGACGAGTTGATTGATTGGTGGTTCTCTCTCCGGCGAGCTGAGTGAACTACTCCGACGACATCGACTTTCCGCGAGTTTTCCAGAGATTCTTCTGAACTTTCCTGGGAATTTTCCTGGGAACTGTTCTGTGAACTTTCAGGAGAATTTCCGAAGATGCTAATTGGATGAGTCAAGGACGAGGAAAACTCGATCTTACGAAATTTTCGATTTTTTTATTTTGAATTTTGAAGATCGCCAAGAGTAGACTCGTTAGATGAAGAAGGTCGTTTGATATCTCAAAAAAAAAAAAAAAAAAAAAAAGGAAGGACGAGGAAGGTCGTTTGATGTCTCGAGTTTTCGGGGAACGAACCTTCCTGGATGGTTCATAATGACTGGCCGGGATGCATCGAGGCAGTCGCTCTCTGCCTCCAAGCTATAGAATCTGTCCCCTCTTCGAAAAAAGAAGAAAGAAAAAATCTGCTGTTTTTTCTTTTTAACTTGAGAATGAGAACGAGCGAAGTTTTTTTTTTTTTTTTTTTTTTAATCCGGTTTTATATTTATTGTAGAACCTCTTCTTTATCTTTATCCAGTCTGGCCTTTCTCTTTTTATTTTCATTTCTTTTCTTTTCTTTTCTTTTCCGTTAAAGTTTTTTTTTTTTTTTTTTTTTTTTTTCAGAGTTCCTCACTTTTTAATGATTCGCAATTTGTGAACTGTAAGCCACGTGGCGCTAATCGGTGTTGAAAAGGGTTAAAATTTAGAATCCTTTTTTTTGGGGGGGGGGGATAGAAGCCCTTTTTTCCCTTTTTGGGTTATTAAGTAAAGTTTTCATTGACATCAGTGAAAAAGGTGGTCTTTCATTAAAAAAAAAGAAAGAAAAAGGTTGTCTTTCTCAGTTTCTCTTTGTTTTTTTTTTTTGTTCTTTGAATTTCTTTCTTTCTTTCCATAAAATTTTCGTTTAAAAGAAAATTAATTAAGGCCGTTTTCCTTCATCCTATACAGTAACTCCCCCCTCCCCCCTTTCTCCCTTTCTCTATTTTGTTTTTTGAGGGGTATTATCCCCTAACACTATTGCATGCACGAGTACTCGGGCTCTTGACTTGTTTTTTTTTCTGCTTCTTCTCCCTCCCCCGCCGCGCCCCCCCCCCCCCCCCCCCCGTTCCTTCTTCGGACGAAAGTCCTCTATGGTTCAGGCGCCGCGGCC